TATGAATAGATAACTGTTTCTTCAATTATGCAAGTTCCGACTGAAGATATTTATTGTTAAATAGCTTCTCATGAGCTTGCTAAATAAAAAAAATACATTATTTTCAAATGTATTGTGTCTAATGCCATTACATTGCTAACTTGTATGCACAATTTAAAAATACATGTTAACTTAAAATTAATTTTGATGTATTAGTTTTAGAGTATTCAGATTTTAWTTGTAATTTAGTCTATGTATTACAATTGATAAATATACTTCAGAAAATAATTATTACAATATTATTCAAGTTTTGATACTTAACAGCAATTTTTTTTTTGTTACAGATTTGTAGTGCTGACCACCAGTGGAGGTATTATGGATCATGAAGAGGCCAGACGGAAACATTTAGGAGGCAAAATCTTAGGATTTTTCTTTTAAATTGTACGTTTTAACTTTAATTTTTATGACTAATAAAAAAATGTACCATTACAAAACTATTTTTTTTTCTTACTGATAATAAACAATGATGATAGGTTGTAGACATATTTATAGTTAATTTGATACATTARTAGAAATCAATTAGTTCTGACTCATTATGTCCTAACCTGTAGTTAATGAAAAATGTCACCAGGTATTCTTATTGATGTATTTTCTATTGAAACGTATACAAGGTTGTTGTTGACACAATATTAGTTATTAATTGTATTCCTGATTTATATTTCGTATAATACATTGTGTATTTCCAAAGTAATGTATGCCTAAAGAAATGAATACTGAGTTCAGTATGTACACGATTATTGAAGAAGTCTTTTATAATAATTTGTTATGAAAAAAGTTAATTTTTATTGACATCTCTGGTTTTTATTACATAAAATWAAGGTCTGTAATATTGTATAAGTATGTTATTATATTCTTATTTAAATGGTTATATTTTATTGCTTACACTTGATAAGTTAATAACCGTTTATAATTGTTACGATCTATAATAGCCACTTGTGTAGTAATACTAACTTATAAATCTTATGTAAGAGTACTCAAAGAAATACTCATTCTAAGTATTCACAATATAACATATATGTWTAATTAAGAGACCTGGTTGATGACTGATCAACAAACAAATTCTGGTCAAGCTTTTAAACTCAGAAGTATAGCAACTTATAGTAATTTATTTTACCACAATACATGAAATATGTAACAGCGCTAATGATACAGATACAGAAGGCAGAGTAAACAATGAAAGTGCTTTTCCATTGTTACTGGAWAGTAGATATTTTAAATATTACCATTCATTCTTATCTTCTAATAATCAATCATATATACCTATTCCTATGATTATATGTTTATATTCAAACACCTATCTACTGAAATGACCGAGTGATTACATTTAAGTTTAATGTAAATAAGTGTCCATGCATAAAATATGCTTAGAAGTTAATAATACATTGTCATGATTGATCTTTCTTATCTTACTTATAGAATGAAAACAATGCTTTTTAATGATATGTACACTATGAAATTGATGTAAATTGATCTGAATGGATCAATTGGAAATAAGCAACTCTATAGCCCGTAATATTTTTAACTTTTAAGTATCTACATTATGTTGTCTATATAATGATATATTGTATTATACAATGGATATCATTATGCAGTAGTAAACATTAGTATGAGTGAACACCTGTCAGGATCAACCTTTTAATTTTTGTTGATAGTAATAATATTATATATTAATTTTAATTAATATAATTTATAATAAATTTAAACTTTATTCTTAGATGGTTAGATATATYCAAGAACCTGATGATAATATATGATCCAAATGTATTTTTCAATTTGTGCTTTTCATACAAAATAAATAGTAAGTACAATCTATTTATTTTGTTATGTATTAAGTCTTTTATATTTTGAAACTTGTGAGGTCTGTTATTGAATCTCATCTTAGTAACCATCGTAAAACCAATTTTACAGATAGTTAGATGATGAGGTACTACACTATATATCCACAATTCTCAATTGCAAAAAAATATCTAACTTGTCAAAAATGTATTCGCCGCGCGTTGTGTGAAATCATCAACGATGACAAAATGTTTAGTCAGAATGTATCTGACCGATAAATATAAATCGAAAATATTTACTGTTTATTCATCTTGGAATTCGTTTTGAGGAAAAATACATACTATAATAGCACTTTCATTCAATAGAAATGCTTTTCGGTAGTCTGATTCAAACCGTCAGACAATAAAAAATGATCTGCCTTAAAAAATATTGCACCTACTACACCGTTCTTCCTACTTCATCGTCAATTTATCAAAAAGAATTCGTTAGTCAGCACACTATTTCTTTTTCTTTGTGATGAGTTTAGTATCTTAAAACTCCTTTGAATTCCACCTTTGAAATGCTCCACCTCATATATTTGTTTTTAGAAAATTGAAACTTTTTTGAGATTTTATTTGGATCGTAACGATATGACARTCGGTATTCAGWGTTATCAAGGTCAAATGATTTGCTTATGAGGCATGGTGGTGCCTATTTTTTAAACGTCAGTTTTTAATTAAAGCTATACAATTTGTTTATTGACAGGTATCTACCTAAGTTATCATGTTACATAATTAAAAAATAGATAATCACGTGATCATATATAACCCTCATGCTCGAGGTTTTGGACAGGCTCGGAGACGTTTATTGCTTGTATTTCATCATTACCTACCTACCTACTATACCTAGTATACCTACTATACTCGTAAAATGTGATCCGTGAATAATAACTAGTTGAATAAAAAAAATTTTCCCATAACGACATTAATGTCTGTTAGAAAAAAAAATTATGCGCTGTACCTATGTGCACGTTTAAACTTGCGTCAAGTTGAAATAGTTGAATATTGTTATAATAAACTATTCGTTTCTACACTTCACGATGTATCACCTCGACCACTGTATAAATTCGGCGACTGTGGACGATGTGTTCTAAACAATAATGAAGGTACCTATATGTATATTCGAGATCGTTAGACTTTTAGTCGTCGCCGTTGGCGAGTTTGATTATAATGAAGAAAACTCACAGACGATGACAAATGCACATAAAAATATATATTTTGTATTTGTAGTGTACAATATATAAATATATCTATTAACTGTGAGAAAACCAAAAGCTCCAAAAGAACTGGAAAACCTCGTGATTACCAGTGGCCCATGGTTATGTATCTATTACAGTTTAATGGGTTAATATTTTAAACATAAAGACATTATATTATATTATCATATTGTATGAGTAAGGAAATTTATATGCGAGTTGTTTTTAAATTATTAAATTTTGTAGTTTCTGCATATATTATAAAAAGTAGTCGTTCTTATAAAAGTTTAACGTAAAAATCGTAG